GGAAATTTGCTTAGTATATCTGGTATCTTATTTTCATTAATAAGATATCTTGACATGTCACATAGGTTATTATACTGTCTGTCTCTGTATTCCTCAATAAGTGGACAATTAAGCACATAGTGTTCAAGAGAGTGACCATATGCCTGATCACATAATTTACATTTAGTTTGATCATCATCTGTGTGTCTCCCAAACTGCCAGAAGTACTTGTAACCAAGCCTAAGCCTGGCCACTACAACATCAGTCAGTCTGTTCACATTGCAAGTTGCTCCATAAACATACTTATCTACGTTCATGTTATCATAGTGGGTTATAGATCTACTCAGGCTTCTAACTGCATTCCTATAACAATCATTTTCATTATTTACTTCTCTCCTAATATTATTCCTAATGCTAGACACAGTTATACCAAAGTTATATTCTACATTCTCCTTCTCGATACTCTTCTTGGCTAACATATCAACTTTATCATGAAGGAGTAATCCAATGTGTGATGGGATCCATAGCAATTGTACATTAATTCCTTTGTCCCTAATTTTTGAGTATCTATACCTGGCTTCCCCAATGAGCATGTTGTTGGAGTCATTATATGAGCCAAGAGCCTTCAATGATGACAGAATCAGTAATGATGATAGAGTCAAGCTCAGTGTCATAGGTTAGCTTTAGCGCCATTAGGATTGCAAACAATTCAGTTTGCAGTGTAGACGCCCAGTTGTTAATTCTTATGCCTAACTCAACAAATTTATTATCGTTCTTAACTAGGGAGGTGGCAACAAAAGCAGATGCAGCCCTGCCAGAAGACTCCTGTTTAGATCCATCAGTGTATATAACTTGTGATAACTTGTTACTACCAGCTAGGTGAGAAATTTCTTCTTGAGCAGTTGCTCTAACAAGAGATTTAAGGAAGGGATTACTAGCAATGAGCTTCTTGGGAGGGACTTGTAGGTATGTGATATTAAATGAACACATCTTCCATGGAGGGGTGAAATGCTCTTGTTGCCTACAGTGATACAGTTCATGCAGGTTATAAAACTTAATGCAATTGCACGTTTTCACAATCCATTTAGATCTGTGTGTATGTGTATTTACCTCTAGACACTTGGTAAGATTCACTGTGACAGTGTCTGGTTCGTTTCTCAACATTCTAATACCGAGTACAGTGTTAATTTCAACAATCCTATCACTGATACTAGAAATACCAAGCTCCTTCCTCATGTTAAGAACTTTTGTAGATCTGGGACAGCCAAGAATAATCCTGAGAGCTTCATTTTGCATTAACTCCAAGGGTCGGAGAGAACTTTCTCTAGCTAATATCAACATGGGAGCAGCATAATCAATTAAGGACCTAACATAGGCTATGTACATCATTCTCACGATTCTCACATTTGCACCATAGTTGGGATTGTAGCCAGCAACAGCTTTGAGAGCATTTAGCCTAGCTTTACATTTCTTGTACCTGTAGCCCAGGGACCTCGCAGTACCTGTAGCCCAGGGACCTCGCAGTACCTGTAGCCCAGGGACCTCGCAGTACCTGTAGCCCAGGGACCTCGCAGTACCTGTAGCCCAGGGACCTCGCAGTACCTGTAGCCCAGGAACCTCGCAGTACCTGTAGCCCAGGGACCTCACAGTACCTGTAGCCCAGGGACCTCGCAGTACCTGTAGCCCAGGGACCTCGCAGTACCTGTAGCCCAGGGACCTCACAGTACCTGTAGCCCAGGGACCTCGCAGTACCTGTAGCCCAGGGACCTCACAGTACCTGTAGCCCAGGGACCTCACAGTACCTGTAGCCCAGGGACCTCACTACCTGTAGCCCAGGGACCTTGCAGTACCTGTAGCCCAGGGACCTCACAGTACCTGTAGCCCAGGGACCTTGCAGTACCTGTAGCCCAGGGACCTCACAGTACCTGTAGACCAGGGACCTTGCAGTACCTGTAGCCCAGGGACCTCACAGTACCTGTAGCCCAGGGACCTCGCAGTACCTGTAGCCCAGGGACCTCGCAGTACCTGTAGCCCAGGGACCTCGCAGTACCTGTAGCCCAGGGACCTCGCAGTACCTGTAGCCCAGGGACCTCACTACCTGTAGTCCAGGGACCTCGCAGTACCTGTAGCCCAGGGACCTCACAGTACCTGTAGCCCAGGGACCTCACAGTACCTGTAGCCCAGGGACCTCACAGTACCTGTAGCCCAGGGACCTCACAGTACCTGTAGCCCAGGGACCTCACTACCTGTAGCCCAGGGACCTCACAGTACCTGTAGCTCAGGGACCTCACAGTACCTGTAGCTCAGGGACCTCACAGTACCTGTAGCCCAGGGACCTCACAGTACCTGTAGCTCAGGGACCTCACAGTACCTGTAGCCCAGGGACCTCACAGTACCTGTAGCTTAGGGACCTCACAGTACCTGTAGCCCAGGGACCTCACAGTACCTGTAGCCCAGGGACCTCACAGTACCTGTAGCCCAGGGACCTCACAGTACCTGTAGCCCAGGGACCTCACAGTACCTGTAGCTCAGGGACCTCACAGTACCTGTAGCCCAGGGACCTAACAGTACCTGTAGCTCAGGGACCTCATAGTACCTGTAGCTCAGGGACCTCACAGTACCTGTAGCCCAGGGACCTCACAGTATCTGTAGCCCAGGGACCTCACAGTACCTGTAGCTCAGGGCCCTCACAGTACTTGTAGCCCAGGGACCTCACAGTACCTGTAGCCCAGGGACCTCACAGTACCTGTAGCTCAGGGACCTCACAGTACCTGTAGCCCAGGGACCTCACTACCTGTAGCTCAGGGACCTCACAGTACCTGTAGCCCAGGGACCTCACAGTACCTGTAGCCCAGGGACCTCACAGTACCTGTAGCTCAGGGACCTCACAGTACCTGTAGCCCAGGGACCTCACAGTACCTGTAGCTCAGGGACCTCACAGTACCTGTAGCCCAGGGACCTCACAGTACCTGTAGCTTAGGGACCTCACAGTACCTGTAGCCCAGGGACCTCACAGTACCTGTAGCCCAGGGACCTCACAGTACCTGTAGCCCAGGAGCCTCACAGTACATGTAGCCCAGGGACCTCACAGTACCTGTACCTGTAGCCCAGGGGCCTCACAGTATCTGTAGCCCAGGGGCCTCACAGTACCTGTAGCCCAGGGGCCCTGCGAAATCTTAATCCAGCTGTGGGTAGAAGGACAATCACTTTAAAAGTACACCTTCAGAGAAACGTAATAGCAATACAAATAACATTTAATTTATATAGCTTCAAGCTTGCTGCGGCGTATAACCCTTGTCGGTTTAGCGCTTTATTTGATTATAATAATACGTTTACCCCCTGAAGGGAGGTTCCTTGACACTGGTGAGGGGCTCTTGATCTACGAAATTGGATCTGTGCTCCAGTTCCCCGAATTAAGCCTGAATGCCTTCCACATCCCCCCTCCCCAGGCGCTGTATAATCCTCCGGGTTTAGCCCTTCCCCTTGATTATAATAATAATAATAATGTATAATCCTACGGGTTTAGTGCTCCCCCATGATTATAATAGTTGATCCAAAGAATTACACCTGCCCTCCCCTTCTTCGGATTAAGCCTGAGTGTCTCCCATTCCCCCAGGCGCTACCTGTATGAATCCCACGGATTTACCGCTCCCCATGAATGTAACAGTAGTAATAAAATTAGTTGGTTAATAGGATTTAACGACTAAAAATACACGAGGGCCACTAAGGCTGCATGTCACCTGTTCTCCATGTGTACATGTACTCTTGTCCTCGGTGCACATGCAGCGCTTTATAACCTTGGTGGGTTTAGCGCTTATTTTTTATTATAATAATATATATGACCCTGGTGGTTTAGCGCTTAGTTTTGATTATAATAATCTCAGTGCGCATACATCAGGAGTTATGCTGGTAGGAAACTTGGACCTGCCTCGCATGGGTCAGTAGGCCTGCCCCTGTGTTCCTTATGTATAATCATATATACAATTTGCAGAGGTGTGCAGCTCTCGGCATATTTATATGTTATATTTATTTATTTATTTATTTATTTATTTATTTTCCGCGGAACATTGAGGGGGGGAAATATAAAACTAAAGGGAACAATCAGCTGATTTTAGAAGGTCGTTCAGGGTTGGCTACAACCCCATAGCTGTATAGCCCTTGTGGTTTAGCGCTTCTTTTTTATAATAATAATAATAATAATAATACAACCCCAAAATGTTGAAAGGTTGAATTCTATTGGCTGAGTTCTCCCCACTTTAAGACAATTCTGAATATTACACTTCTAGCAAAACTATCATGGAGTGGAAATACCTCATCGTTTTATAATTAATTAGACAATTACATACCCTAAATGTATCTGAGATTAAAATATACTTACGGAAAAGACGCAATAAGGAAATTACAATATACATAAAATAAGAATGGAGAAAAACTGCAGCAGGCCTATTGGCCTAGTAAGTAAATTTATTCAGGTATATACAAATATAGTTATATTGATTATTATACATAGTAGCATATGTGTAGGGAACTTACGATAACCCAGAAAAGTCATACAGAGTAACTTATTGCCATTGGGGTCCTTAACATATCAAAACCACCCATTCCCACCCACGTATTTATCGAACCTTTTCTCAGAGCTACCCAAGAATTTGCTACAGTACTCAGATACTAATCAAACCTAACTCTTTTCACTCGAAGGAAAGTACTACAAGGACCCCAATGGAAATAAGTCACTTTGACTTTTTTGGGGGGGTTATCCTAGGTAATTTACATACATGTTACTACGTATGACAATTTGTGTAACTATATATATATATATATATATATATATATATATATATATATATATATATATATATATATATATATATATATATATATATATATATATATATATATATATATATATATATATATATATATATATATATATATATATATATATATATATATATATTATATATATATATATATATATTTATTTATTTATTTATTTGTAGAAAATCGGAATTCTCCCGACAACATCGTCTGTTTGTTTTCATTTTGGACGAGAGAACTTCTTGGTGTTGAGTTTAATAAATCAATACTGGCAAGTGTGTACGCATGCCATGGCCTCCCCAGTTGGTGAGGAGATTCTGGAAGATGTACCCATTGATGATTTCAGAGGTGCAACGCTGCGTCTGGATCCTGCCTCCAGACAACCATCAAGAAGTGTCAGTCCCAACTCTGACAACAACAGGTATGTATGTGTAAATATGTAGAACAAGTCACATGGGATGCAAATCTTTAGATCTTTCGCAGTCTCGTGCGGCATCAGTAGCTATGCAATGTTGCAAGACAGCAACAGATAGGGTTGCCATTGACACTTGCCTTGCCTCAGAATTTCCCCTCCTATCTGTTGCTGTCTTGCAACATTGCATAGCTCCTGACGACGCACGAGTGTGCGAAAGATCTACAGCTAAAGATTTCCATCCCCATGTGGCTTCGGCATTATTAAGACCGCCTGTTTGTGACTGTATTACATGTGTAAATATCCATAAATTACCTTGCATAACCCCTCAAATGTCAAAGTTACAATAGTAATCAATCATGATAATAACCTTGAAGGTTGAAAGAGCTATGTAACTCAACTGTGTGAAAAACATTTACTCAATTTTTGTTTAGGTGTCACATATAAAAAACTTACAGTAGTTCTGAGGACACATGGGTGTTATGGTCACATATATAGTGACCTTGTTGGGTTATTCTAGGTAGTTGACACATTTTACTACCTAAGACATTTGTAATCACCCAAAACTTGTGTAATTGTACCTAAATTAGGGTGTCGTGTATCTGGATCACTGGTGCACTCAGCTCTCACACACTGAGGTCTGTGGTTTGATCCCTGGTTTGAGTGGAAACATTAGGATGTGTTTCCTTAAGACACCTGCTGTCCCTGTTCACTTATCAGTAAAATGGGTACCTGGGTGTTTATCGACTGGTGTGGGTCGCATCCTGGGAACCAAATTGACCTAATTTGCCCGAAATGCTCTGCATAACAAGGGGCTTTCTGTATAGTAGTATGTCATTGATGTCAGCTTTGGTCTGTATACTTTATACATGTACTTGTAGAAATAATTTAAAAAAATAAAATACATAAACTTCTTCAGATCAAGTAATGCGACATATTTCCACATATTTCTGAAATGCTCTTTGCTGCTCAAAATGCACATGCATGCTAGTGGCTATCTGTGTGCTTAACAATACTTTATTACATATAAACTACAGTTTGTATACTACGTAAAGAAATAAACTTTTGATTTGATTTGACATGCTCTGTACAACTAAGGACTTTCTATTTGAAATATTAAATGTCATCCAATTTTGTAATAAATATCTCATATCATGTGGAAATAAAGAATTATTATTATGAGTCGCTTTCTTTGTACGTACTTAACAATATTTTATAAATTGTAAATCACACATTGTATATTATGCAAAGAAATAAAAATTTAATTTAATATAAATATTATTATTATTATTATTATTTAAATTTAGATTTAACATAAGATTTATTTATTTATTTATTTATTTATTTAGTAATTTAAGCATACATACAGAGGTACAAAAAATACAGGTAAGAGCAGCATGCCAAAGCCACTTATATGCATAGCATTACGGGCTGGCTTAAAATTAACTTAAGATTAACTAAGCAATGATGAAATCAGTGATAAAACATTATTGTAAACAGATAACTATAAAGCACAAATGAGTATTACAAAGACAGGTCATATGGTTGCATGCATTGCTGTACATTCAGTCGAATGGAGTATTCTGTTAGGTAGTGTATTTAAAAAAATAACAAAGTTAGATTGGGTCCTAGGTTTAACATTTGTGTGATATAATTGTGAGTAACATATAGGATATACAATTTATAAGGTTCAGTTATTCAGTATTTATTTGGTTTTGAGCGAGTAAGTGATCTTTGAGAAGAGACTTGAATTTATAAACAGGTAGTGTTTCTTTTATATTTACAGGTAATGAATTCCAGATTTTAGGGCCTTTTATGTGCATTGAGTTTTTGCATAGCGTGAGATGGACACGAGGAACATCAAAGAGTGATCTGTGCCTTGTGTTATGGTCATGTGTTCTGTTGAGGTTGGCAAGGAGATGTTTGAGGGGAGGGTTAATATCAGAGTTAAGTGTTCTATGTATGTAATAGGTGCAGTAATAAGTATGGATGTTTTGTATGGTGAGTAGGTTGAGTGTTTTGAATATTGGTGGAGTGTGCTGCTGTAGTGAGAATTTGTTATCATATCTAACTGCAGCCTTTGTTGGGTAATTAGTGGTCTGAGATGGTTAATTGTTGTTGAGCCCCATGCACAAATTCCATAGGTGAGATAGGGGTAAATAAGAGAGTGATAAAGGGCCAGGAGGGCTGACTGTGGAACATAGTACCGTATCTTCGATAGTATGCCTACAGTCTTGGAAATTTTCTTAGAAATTTGTTGTATATGTGTATGAAATTTGAGTCTATTATCAAGGTGGATTCCTAAGAATTTTCCCTCTGTTAGCTTTGTGATAGGTGATCTGTTTATCGTTATGTTAAGAGGTACATCTGTAGCTCTGTTACCAAACTGAATGAAGTAGGTTTTGTCAATGTTTAGTGTAAGTTTGTTAGTCCTCATCCAGGTAGATATTTTCTGTAATTCGGTGTTTACAGTATTGGCTAGCGTGACTGGGCTCGGGTGAGAGAAGACGTATGTAGTGTCATCTGCAAAAAGTGTGGGTTTGAGGAACATATACCACTTACTTCTCTAAAAGTGGAGTTAATAATGTAAATGAAGGACTCTTAAATTAAGTAAGTGTAACTATCTTGCCTTTAGATCAAACCAAATCATCTTCCATTTCTCAGGTGCTGTATGACCCCTGTGGGTTTAATGCTTCCTTGTGAATTTGATAATATTGTGCCATATGTGTCTGTGTATTATAATGGACTTGGTGAACACAGGTGTTATCCATACAAGTGTCATCTATACAGGTGTCATCTATACAGGTGTCATCTATACAGGTGTCATCTATACAGGTGTCATCTATACAGGTGTCATCTATACAGGTGTCATCTATACAGGTGTCATCTATACAGGTATCATCTATACAGCAGTCATTATACAGGTATCATCTATACAGGTATCATCTATACAGGTATCATCTATACAGGTATCGTCTATACAGGTATCATCTATACAGGTGTCATCTATACAGGTGTCATCTTTATAGGTATCATCCATGCAGGTGTCATTCATACAGGTGTCATCCACACAGCTTTGCATATTTCTTCAGATCAGAAGCCTGCAAAGTTGGTGACAGACACATGGAACATTGGAAGCCTTTATTATAATGTTTTACTCAAGTGTCTTTATCAGTATCCCATGAAGTCACTGACATTTCAGATCACCATTGTCAGCAAGTTATCAAGTTGGCAGTTATCTATCAGCATAATTTAGATTTAAGTTAGATTAATGCTTGCCAGTAGTATTAATTAATTTTAAAATATTGGAGACTTCTGACCAATGGAAGACTTGGTAACATTGGCATTCTCTGTCGTCTGCTGGTTGCCTTGCTGCCTTTTCTGTTCATCATACAAACCCACCTCCATGTGGTATGCTGTGAAAAAATTGCTAGCATGAACAAATGAAACTTTTCAGCTTTTTGATGAAGCTGAAGTATGAATTTTAATAATTACTATTTGATTTTATGATTCATAGTTCAGTGGATTTTTTCTTTATTTTTGAGCAAATGATCAGTAACTTTGCTGTAAAACTCTAGCTTGCTATAAAAATTTTGTAATATTTCCTTTTTTAACTGATCATAGGGAAAAGCTTTTGCAATCTTTTTGATCTTAAGAATGTCTGGAGTAAGTTTTAATTTGTTTCAAGGTAAAGAAGTTGTGTTCTACAGATGCAGTTTGACCTCAAGTCACTGATGCACTTGAAATTGCCTGCGTATAAATTTGGAAAACTAAAAATTAAATGTAATTGCTAGTTATAAATTTTTAACCCTTATTAAACTAGAAAAAAAAAATTTTTTTCATCATTGCAGATTCCTAGATGATAAAAATCGTCCCATCCTGCGCACAGCAATCAGTGACCCTACTACAGATGTTGTTACTCCGCCCACTCCCGACCAAGCCAACAACTTTTATTGTAGTCAAGGTTTGAGGCTATGAAACTGAAGCTATAATAGAGACAGTGGAGATGTCATATTTGAGAGCAGTGTGGGGTGCATACATTATAATTCAGTGTAGAAATTAGAAGACAGTATGAGGTTATGAAAGGTATTGTTCAGAGGTTGGATGAGGGGTTGTGAGGTGGTTTGGGCATTTAGAGAGGATGGAGCAAAATAGGATGATAAAGTCAATAAATCCGGAAGTGGATGGAAGGACAGGTAGGAGTCACCCAAGGAAGGGTTGGAGGGATGGTGTGAAAGAATTGAAATTACATGCTTGAGCATCCAGCAATCATATGTGAGCATGTTAAATTGGAGTAGATGCAGCTATGTGGTTTTAAGGATGTGATGGGCTGTTGAAGTGTAAACAAAGTAATGTTTATGCAGGGTGATTTAGGAAACCCAGTTCACTGGACTTGATTCCTGGAGGTGGGAAGTACGGTGCCTGTACTCTAGAGGGGTGGGATGTTACATTTCAGAGGGTAGTATGAATTGTGGTGTCTATGCACTTTCGGCAAGACGTCCATCTAATGAATGATGGTGAATGTTCCCATTTTTGTTTTATCATATCTTGGTGGGAGAAGATGACCGTAATGGGGTGGGTACATGAGGTTTTGCCACTAATGTTCTTCTTCTGGCTATTATCTACATTGTTTTGTACTAAGCATCCTTTGAGGAGAAGGGTCATAATGATGTGGAAGGGATCTTGATCCAGGGAATTGAAGCTACTCTTCTATACCTTGGATCAACCTAATTATCTCCCATTCCCCAGGTGCTGTATGATTACTTATTTAGTGCTTAACCATGAGTAAAATATATTTTACACTAGCAATAAATGTATTTTTAACATTATAAAAATAACTTGTATGGCTTTTGAGATACTATAAGACTGTGATCAAATCTTACTCTCCCCTTTCCACCATCAATCAAAGTTCTGTTGGGCTTAATGTTTGCGTAGAAATTTTGAAGATATTTATAATGTTTATTTGGTTTAGTACTTCTTAAACTTTTTTGTGGTCATACCCTAATTAAAATGTATTAGATTGTCAAATTATCAACATGCTTTATATTTTGGCTGTGTAAGTATTATTTTTTTTTATTATTTATTATCACACTGGCCGATTCCCACCAAGGCAGGGTGGCCCGAAAAAGAAAAACTTTCACCATCATTCACTCCATCACTGTCTTGCCAGAAGGGTGCTTTACACTACAGTTTTTAAACTGCAACATTAACACCCCTCCTTATACTGTGTAAGTATATAGTATCCAAAAAAAATTGAACTGAAATGCACAAAAAAAAAAAAGCCACCAATCATGTACCAATATCTGGAGTATACCTGGAGAGGGTTTCAAGGGTCAATGCCCCTGCAGCCTGGTCTGAGACCAGGCCTCATGGTTGATCAGGGTCTGATCAACCAGGTTGTCACTGCTGGCCACACGTAAACCAATGTATGAACCACAGCCCAACTGATCAGGTACTGACTTTAGGTGCCTGTTCAGTGCCTTCTTGAAGACAGCTAGGAGACTATTGGTAATCCCCCTTATGTATGCTGGGAGGCATTTGAACAGTCTTGGGCCCCAACACTTATTGTGTTGTCTCTTAGTGTACTCGTGGATCCCCCTCCTTTTCATTGGGGGAATGTTGCATCTCCTGCCGAGTCTTTTATTTTCGTAGGAAGTGATTTTCATGTGCAATTTTGGTACTAATCCCTCTAGGGATTAGAAAATGTTATGACAGCAAAAGGTCAGATGACCAAATATTGATTTTTGTATTTTCTAAGTTTCCTGGTAAAGCTCATAATTATTTTGCGTGTATTTTATACATCCTTTTCCATTTTTTTTTTTAACAACTTCCATGCTTAGGTTTGGCATTCTGTCTTTATCCCCCTCCTTCCTAGGTTGCATTCTTCATTATCCCTAACTATAAAAGGGACTTAAAAAGCTTGAGGCTTTCTCTATGAAAGTTTGTTTTACAGGTTTGAGTCGGTCCTTTTATCAGCAGCCCCCCATTGGGCAGCCACGGCGGGCCTCGTGGCATGCAGATACAGGAAGCGAGCCTGCCATAGATGAATTTTTTTCTGTCAGAGTTGGGGCACTTGAGCAGGCAGTGGAAGAGTGCCAGCATCTCACAGATCCAGAGACTGATGGGCCAATCAAAGGAGCATGGCTATTAACTGAGTAAGCATATTTGGGTGTTACTGTATTTTTCTTTGAACAAGTACCTACAGTATTTAGCTTACTAGGTAATGTAGCAGACACAGAGGGCTGCTGTAATAGCTCGTAGGACTCACTGCTTATCTTGTTTTACCTTCTGAAAGAGGGAAAAATCTTACCCTGTGTACATGACTAATGTTTTTTTTATATGCTCTTAATTTGGCCTTAATCTCGTTTTCTAAAAAAAATTTCTGAATCTGTAGAGCAGTATTTGCTCTGAGAATTGCTTTTAGCAAAATGTATCTGTTTTCCTTGTCCAAAAGGAAGAGATCTCTTTATTACTTTCTGTTTGATCTATACATGTTTAGCTCTTGTTTTTAATATACAGGTAATATTTTTTACCCCAAATATGTAGGAAAACATTATTATGTAAAATATGTATCAATAGTAATCTAAATATTTATGATATTTATTACAGAACCTCAGCTTTTATGTATACTGTCACTTAATATTTACAGGATCAATCACTGGGATATTGAAAAAGAACGTGTTGTGATTCTGTGTGATTTGTCGCTCTTGGTGGTCAAGTATGATTTCATTGCTCTTCGCCACATTGAATTTACGCGTATATGTTTGTCTTCTCTGCAAAACCTTCAGATTGGAGAGCTGACATATCCAAGCCACTCCCTTGTACCGTGAGTGTCTGAATACCAACTTTCAGCTGCCACTTGAGTTATATTATTGCTTAACATAATTTATAAAATCAGCTCAAATTACTACCAATTAAGCTGTACTGTACTATGAAGTCAGTCTCATATCATTTTAATGTTTTTCCTGTTCATTATTTCTTTAAATTCTTGTAAATACTACAGTGCTATATGAAAACATTACTGTTTGTAAGTCACTGACTTCACTGTATGTGTACAGTAAATAATACAGCAAACCCTCTCATAATGTGCAGGTTATGGTCCTAAATATCAGCACTTGCAAAAAACCGGGTTATGTGAAGTGAAGAACATAGGGAAAAAATTAGGGTTGCATTCCAGAAACCTCCAAATTTGCAAGAAAGCTTCTTTTTAATATTGGACTAAGTGAAAATTACTACCTTTCTTTCTAGTTGTCATTGCTTGTTAACATGGAAGTGTTTGGAGAGGTTTGATGTGGCATTACAGTGGAACTTCGGTTTTCGTGATTAATCCGTTTGAAAAATTCTGACAAAAATGAATCGTATGAAAACTGAAGCAATATTTCCCATAAGAAATAATGTAAATCCAATTAATCTATTCCAGGCATCCAAAAATATTAAAAAAAAAATACATTTTATAGAGAATAATTATTATTTTTTATTTTTTTTTTTTTTCAACAAGTCGGCCGTCTCCCACCAGGGCAGGGTGACCCAAAAAAAGAAAGAAAATCCCCAAAAAGAAAATACTTTCATCATCATTCAACACTTTCACCACACTCGCACATTATCACTGTTTTTTGCAGAGGTGCTCAGAATACAACAGTCTAGAAGCATACACATATAAAGATACACAACATATCCCTCCAAACTGCCAATATCCCAAACCCCTCCTTTAAAGTGCAGGCATTGTACTTCCCATTTCCAGGACTCAAGTCCGACTATATGAAAATAACCGGTTTCCCTGAATCCCTTCACTAAATATTACCCTGCTCATACTCCAACAGATCGTCAGGTCCCAAGTACCATTCGTCTCCATTCACTCCTATCTAACACGCTCACGCAAGCTTGCTGGAAGTCCAAGCCCCTTGCCCACAAAACCTCCTTTACCCCCTCTCTCCAACCCTTTCGAGGACGACCCCTACCCCGCCTTCCTTCCCCTATAGATTTATATGCTTTCCATGTCATTCTACTTTGATCCATTCTCTCTAAATGACCAAACCACCTCAACAACCCCTCTTCTGCCCTCTGACTAATACTTTTATTAACTCCACACCTTCTCCTAATTTCCACACTCCGAATTTTCTGCATAATATTTACACCACACATTGCCCTTAAACAGGACATCTCCACTGCCTCCAACCGTCTCCTCGCTGCTGCATTTACCACCCAAGCTTCACACCCATATAAGAGTGTTGGTACTACTATACTTTCATACATTCCCTTCTTTGCCTCCATAGATAACGTTTTTTGACTCCACATATACCTCAACGCACCACTCACCTTTTTTCCCTCATCAATTCTATGATTAACCTCATCCTTCATAAATCCATCTGCCGACACGTCAACTCCCAAGTATCTGAAAACACTCACTTCTTCCATACTCCTCCTCCCCAATTTGATATCCAATTTTTCTTTATCTAAATCATTTGACACCCTCATCACCTTACTCTTTTCTATGTTCACTTTCAACTTTCTACCTTTACACACATTCCCAAACTCATCCACTAACCTTTGCAATTTTTCTTTAGAATCTCCCATAAGCACAGTATCATCAGCAAAAAGTAACTGTGTCAATTCCCATTTTGAATTTGATTCCCAAAATTTAATCCCACCCCTCTCCCGAAACACCCTAGCATTTACTTCCTTTACAACCCCATCTATAAATATATTAAACAACCATGGTGACATTACACATTCCTGTCTAAGACCTACTTTTACCGGGAAGTAGTCTCCCTCTCTTCTACACACCTAACCTGAGCCTCACTATCCTCATAAAAACTCTTTACAGCATTTAATAACTTACCACCTATTCCATATACTTGCAACATCTGCCACATTGCTCCTCTATCCACTCTATCATATGCCTTTTCTAAATCCATAAATGCAATAAAACTTCCCTACCTTTATCTAAATACTGTTCACATATATGCTTCAATGTAAACACTTGATCTACACATCCCCTACCCACTCTGAAACCTCCTTGCTCATCCGCAATCCTACATTCTGTCTTACCTCTAATTCTTTCAATTATAACCCTACCGTACACTTTTCCTGGTATACTCAGTAAGCTTATTCCTCTATAATTTTTAGTCTCTTTTGTCCCCTTTCCCTTTATATAAAGGGACTATACATGCTCTCCGCCAATCTCTAGGTACCTTCCCCTCTTTCATACATTTATTAAACAAAAGTACCAACCACTCCAACACTATATCCCCCCCTGCTTTTAACATTTCTGTCATGATCCCATCAGTTCCAGCTGCTTTACCCCCTTTCATTTTACGTAATGCCTCACGTACCTCCCCCACACTTACATTCTGCTCTTCTTCACTCCTAAAAGATGATGAGAAATAAATATGAATGACTAATGCAATGGATAAATGAACATTTAACATCACTTTTACCGTTATTGAAGACTTGTTGGTGTATGGAAGACGGCAAAGAGAGGAGAGGGAGGAGGAGAGGTTATTGTTTGGAAGGAGAATCCCCGTCTATAAGAAATTCAGGTATCAAGGCCCTATCTGGGGTTACTTTCATTCTTTGTCTTTTACTGGCACTAGGATCAGCTTGGGAGTCATTGGACCACTGTTGCACAAAAAATCCATCAAGAGAGGTCTGTTTCTGGCGTTTCTTTGAGATTTGCCTAAAATGGGATAAGGCATTGTCACTGACATGTTGCAGACATGGCTTGCAACAGCTTTGTTAGGGTGATATTTCTCCACAAAACTCTGCAACTCATTTCACTTTGCACACATGTGGCTAGCACTCGGAACTTTCTTTGGCTCCATGGTGGCTTATTTAGCAGTCGCCCTCAATAACCAAGCACAAAAAACAATGGATTATTATGAAATGTTTCGGATGAATGCATTGGGTGATGCTCACTCAACGAGAAACAAAGGCAGACTGAGTCATGAACGCATGGGATGCTTTGTGTGGGTGCTCGTTACTGGGAAATGAGTGGCTGAGCCATGCAGGCAGGCGGACAAGTTTGGTACAGACCATTTTCAACTGTACGAAAACTGGGACAAAATTTTGATGAAAAAAGTCGTCAAAAACCAAATCGTACAAAAACTAGAGCATACGAAAACCGAGGTTTAACTGTACTTGGTTAAAAGAGTGATTGTGGTTCTTGTGTTGAAGTGGTTGCAGGGTTGTCAGTAGTTAATGGTTATCCTGGAGTACTCAAATATTCCATAATGTATCTCTGGTCTGTTTTATCCTGTAGCTTATGATAAGGCATCATCACCTCCAGACCCCTCAGAGCAATTCTTCTGGAGTATGAGGATCTTTTCAGTGAAATAGTCTGCAACTGTACGAGTAACTTAAAATTGCTTACATAAGTGTTGCACTGTTAACTTTTTATCTCCAGATTCTTCTTTATCCTTTATAATCTGCTTCTCTCTCTTCTTGGGAATTGAACTCCTCCAGCAATTCATCTACATTTAGTTCTTCATTATCCTCTTCCAGCTGTTCATGTCTTCATGGATATCTTCAATGCCCACACATTACACAGTCCTTGCTGGAGCCACAGTTTCCTGAACCCAAATCTTGACTGAGAAACAAACAGAAAAGTTATTTACCATAGGTCATAAGTGAGCCCAGCCAACATTTATGGTTGATGCAGATAGATCATCCAATAAAATCTTCACATGTATCTACAAATTCCATGGTGCATAGTGTATTCAGATTTCATGCATAACTTGTCGCTATGATGGTTCTGTCATGATTTATGGCATGTAATATCCAAATTTTTTTAGCACTATGAAATTTTGGCTGCTCTTTTTCGTTTACATTGAAACAAAATTTCACTCTGTTCTGTTTCATTATAAGAGGGTTAACTGTACATCAAAAGTATTCTTCATATTTTCATGAATTTGGTGAAAGGGTTGAGAGTAAACATGAAGAGCTACTAATTTTATTTAGTATCAGATTGTACATGTTCTTTACAATCCTTGTAAAAGATAATGCTGTAACTCATGCTCTTCTTACAGCCGGATAAATGGCATTGCTGGGGGTGTGGTGACAGTCATCCGCAGTTGTCTGTTGAGTCGCTTACAGAGTACCATAGCCACACTTAGTTCACGAGCAACTGGAACTCCTGGTTCTCCACTAAAAGAATCAGCACCAGAGAAGCAATTCTCATTATCGACTGTCAGCTTTGAACCAAGGCAAGAACTTTTTTATACTTTATAATATGGTTAGGCGATGAGAAGATAATTTTGTTTTTTACATTCTGGCCTTCTCCCACCGAGGCAGGGTAACCTGAAAAAGAAACACTTTCAGAATCATTCACACTACGACTGTCTTGCTAGATGCACACAGATACGACATTTCTGATATCCCTCCAAGTAGCAAATATCCCAAACCCCTCCTGTAGAGTGCAGGTACTATATAGAAAGCCCCTGGTTATGAAGAGTATTTCAGGCATTTAGGTTAATTTTGTCTCCAGCATACAACCCACACCAGTCAGCTAACTCCCAGGTACCTACTTACTGCTATGTGAACAGGGACAGCAGGTGTCTTAAGGAAACATACCCCAGTCTTTCCATCCGTACTGGGGAGTGAACCACGAACCTCAGTGTGTGAGCTAAGTGCGTTACCAACTGAGCTACAGGACTAAGTTTTAAAGAATTTAGTTCTTTATCTCCCGTCTTTATTTATTTATATAGTTACATTTTTTATTGGAAGCACACACTAAGATTTCATGAATGTACAAATGTAACAGAACATGCTAAAACGTATGTGGTTTAGAAAACCAAGTTGATAAATGAGAAACCCAAATGTTGCAAAAGTGTTTCATTTATCAAAATGTATGTAGAGGGAGGAATCAAACACGATATGGGCTGTCAGCCTCACAGGAGTGAGGGCAGCATGATAACCACTATACCATCAGCATTAAGAGTGTTGAATGTACTATCAGCTGGGAATGAACTATCAGCTGGGAAGTTAGTTGGATTTCCACGCTTTTCCCTCATATTACTACTATTCTTTCTTCTTTCAACAAACCGGCCGTATCCCACCGAGGTAGGGTGGCCCAAAGAGAAAAACAAAAGTTTCTCTTTTCAAATTTAGTAATTTATACAGGAGAAGGGGTTACTAGCCACTTGCTCCCAGCATTTTAATCGCCTCTTACAACATGCATGGCTTACGGAGGAAGAATTCTGTTCCACTTCCCCATGGAGATAAGAGGAAATAAACAAGAACAAGAACCAGAAAGAAAATAGAAGAAAACCCAGAGGGGTGTGTGTATATATATATATATGCTTGTACATGTATGTGTAGTGTGACCTAAGTGTAAGTAGAAGTAGCAAGACGTACCTAAAATCTTGCATGTTTCTTTCTTTCAACACACCGGCCGTATCCCACCGAGGCGGGGTGGCCCAAAAGGAAAAACAAAAGTTTCTCCTTTTACATTTAGTAATATATACAGGAGAAGAGGTTACTAGCCCCTTGCTCCTGGCATTTCAGTTGCCTCTTACAACACGCATGGCTTATGGAGGAAGAATTCTGTTCCACTTCCCCATGGAGATAAGAGGAAATAAACAAGAATAAGAACTAGAAAGAAAATAGAAGAAATCCCAGAGGGGTGTGTATATATATGCTTGTACATGTATGTGTAGTGTGACCTAAGTGTAAGTAGAAGTAGCAAGACGTACCTGAAATCTTGCATGTTTATGAGACAGAAAAAAGGACACCAGCAATCCTACCATCATGTAAAACAATTACAGGCTTTCGTTTTACACTCACTTGGAAGGACAGTAGTACCTCCCTGGGCAGTTGCTGTCTACCAACCTACTACCTAGAATTACTACTATTATGAGTGTGAAATTCTGTTGCTAGTATATACTTTCAAACTTGCATATATTGATCTGAACACCTTTCTAGAACATTAATCTTTCATCACTTCAAACTTCCAAGTCCCATCAACTGGCACAAGAAGAAGCCATAACTATGAACTAAGAAAGGGCTGCCGAAGTGACACTAAAAAGAATTTCTTCATATATTCATAAATCAATAGAATGCGCTGCTAGAAATGGAAATAAGTGCCACAGCTACAGCCACTGAAAACTTTAGAAAGCTTTACAATGGACTAATTGCTGTAGGAACCGAGAGTGTAGCTCTGCTCCTATATCAATAAATTGGTAATCACAGAGTGCTTGCACGCTGAAGGAGGGGTTTGGGATATTTACTGTTTAGAGTGACATATAAACTGTTGTATCTGCATGCCTCTGGCAAGACAGTAATAGTGTGAATGATGATGATGAAAGTGTTTCTTTTTTCTGGTCACTTTCCTTGGTGGGAGATGGCCAGCATGTTAAAACAACAAAAATAGGTGATCACACATTTAGACGAAGTTACAGAGGTTGGTGGATGAGTTTAGTAGGGTATGTAAAAGAAGAAAATTGAAAGTGAATATAGGAAAGAATAAGGTGATGAGGATAAAAAAATTAGGTAACGAAAGATTGGATATCAGGTTGGAGGGAGAGAGAGTATTTAGGAGGTGAATGTATTCAGATATTTTAGAGTGGATGTTTCAGCAGATGGATCTATGAAAGATGAGGTGAATCATAGAATTGACAAGGGGAAAAAGGTCAAGTGGTGCACTGAGGAGTGTGTGGAGACAAATAACTTTGTTCACGGAAGCAAAGAGGAGAATGTATGAGAGTATAGTTATACCAATGCTCTTGTATGGGTGTGAAGCATGGGTGGTGAATGTTGCAACAAGGAGAAGGCTGGAGGCAGTGGAGATATCGTGTCTGAGGGCAGTGTGTGGTGTGAATATAATGCAGAGAATTCGTAGTTTGGAAATTAGGAGGAGGTACAGGATTACGAAAACTATTATCCAAAGGGTTGAGGAGGGGTTGTTGAGGTGGTTTGGACATGTAGAGAGGGTGGAACAAAATAGAATGACTTTGAGAGTGTATAAATTTGTAGTGGAGGGAAGGCGGGGTAGAGGTCGGCCTAGGAAAGGTTGGAGGGAGGGGGTAAAGGAGGTTTTGTGTGCGAGTATTTTGGACTTCCAGCAAACATGTGTGAGCATGTTAGATAGGAGTGAATGGAGACAAATGGTTTTTAGGACTTGACGTGCTGTTGCAGTGTGAGCAGGGTAATATTTATGAAGGGGATTCAAGGAAACCGGCAGGCCGGACTTGAGTCCTGGAGATAGGAAGTACAGTGCCTGCACTCTGAAGGAGGGGTGTTAATGTTGCCATTTTATAACTGTAGTGTAAGTGTGCCTCTGGCAAGTCAGTGATGGAGTGAATGATGGTGAAAGTTTTTCTTTTCTTTGGCGGGAAACGGCCGATGTGTTAATAAAATAAATAAAAATAAACATTTAGACCATTTCTTTTATGCTCACTATCACCTCTTCATGGACAAGAACACTAAAACTTCTTGCACCATTCTGCACAGGCATTCAGGAGTGTTATGTCTTACCTAGGATGTCTGTTGTTTCAGTATTTTTCATAGTTCATAAGATGGCATATATCTCTAATTCTTCTGGAAATCTGCAGCTGTTTTCTATAATTTTTTTTTTAAAATGTGCCATATCTTTCACAGTCTATGCCTGAAGTCCATCATACGTAAGAATTTTTTTATACTAGTTGGACAAATGATCATCCTTTTATAACAGGTAGTGCATTTGCCAAAATTCCAAACAGACCCAGAAATCATTCTACCATGTCAAGGTAACAACTCTGTGTAATATGTACATTCATTTTTTTCACCACATTGGTTGTTTCCCACCAAGAAGGGGTGACCCAACAAAAGAAACACATTCACCATCACTTATTCAGTAGCTGTCTTGATAGAAATGGATGGTTGTTACAGTTCAAATAGCCTTCCAAATGGCAATGCCCATAGTTATCTTTCAGAGTGCAGGCACTGTTCTCCACATTTCCAGAACTCGAATCCTGCTACGCATTCAATATTTTTAATTATATAAAGCTACAGTCCTAGGTAATAGGTTGGTAGACAGCAACCACCCAGGGAGGCACTACTGTCCTGCCAAGTGAGTGTAAAACGAAAGCCTGTAATTGTTTTACATGATGGTAGGATTACTGGTGTCCTTTTTTCTGTTTCATAAACATGCAAGATTTCAGGTACGTCTTGCTACTTCTACTTACACTTAGGTCACACTACACATACATGTACAAGCATTTATATATACATACCCCTCTGGGTTTTCTTCTATTTTCTTTCTAGTTCTTGTTCTTGTCTATTTCCTCTTATCTCCATGGGGAAGTGGATCAGAATTCTTCCTCCGTAAGCCATGCGTGTTATAAGAGGCGACTAAAATGCCAGGAGCAAGGTGCTAGTAACCCCTTCTCCTGTATATATTACTAAATGTAAAAGGAGAAACTTTCGTTTTCCCTTTTGGGCCACCCCGCCTCGGTGGGATACGGCCGGTGTGTTGAAAGAAGAAACATGCAAGATTTCAGGTACGTCTTGCTAATTCTACTTAAACTTAGGTCACACTACACATACATATACAAGCATATATATACACACCCCTCTGGGTTTTCTTCTATTTTCTTTCTAGTTCTTGTTCTTGTTTATTTCCTCTTATCTCCATGGAGAAGTGGAACAGAATTCTTCCTCCGTAAGTCACGCGTGTTGTAAGAGGCAACTAAAATGCTGGGAGCAAGGGGCTAATAACCCCTTCTCATGTATGTATTACTAAATGTAAAAGGAGAAACTTTAGCTTTTCCTTTTGGGCCACCCCGCCTCAGTGGGATACGGCTGGTGTGTTGAAAGAAAGAAAAGAAAAACATGCAAGATTTAAGGTACGTCTTGCTACTTCTACTTACACTTAGGTCACACTACACATGCGTGTACAAGCATATATATACACACCCCTCTGGGTTTTCTTCTATTTTCTTACTAGTTCTTGTTGTTTGTTTCCTCTTATCTCCATGTCATAAGAGGCGACTAAAATGCCGGGAGCAAGGGGCTGGTAACCCCTTCTCTTGTATACATTTCTAAAGTTAAAAAGAGGAGCTTTTGTTTTTCTTTTTGGGTCACCCTGCCTTGGTGGGATATGGCCAGTTTGTTGAAAGAAGAGATAAGATAAGATAAGATTTCGTTCGGATTTTTAACCCCGGAGGGTTAGCCACCCAGGATAACCCAAGAAAGTCAGTGCGTCATCGAGGACTGTCTAACTTATTTCCATTGGGGTCCTTAATCTTGTCCCCCAGGATGCGACCCACACCAGTCGACTAACACCCAGGTACCTATTTGCTGCTAGGTGAACAGGACAACAGGTGTAAGGAAACGTGTCGAAATGTTTCCACCCGCCGGGAATCGAACCCGGGCCCTCCGTGTGTGAAGCGGGAGCTTTAGCCACCAGGCCACCGGGCCACCGTCCGGGCCACCGGTGAAGAAGAAAGAAAGCTAAAGTGTCAGCAAGCTTCTGGCAAGTCAGCGATTGAATGAATGATGGTGAATGTGTTTCCATATTTTTTGGGTCAGCCTACTAAATTTGTGCTTTTTGTTTCCAGGGCACGCAACATGCAAGGATTCCGTGTGACGTGGAACAATGGCCACCAGATATCATTTGCTCAGAAATGGAACCCTTGGAGTAGAGATATACCTTACACAACATTTACCTCCCATCCTCTTTATTGGTACACAGGTAAAACACTTTGGTATCTCTCACTTTCTTCACTTATGTTGTAGAAAAAATTATTTGTATGTAAATTTAAATATACTGTAATTGCAATTATTGCTTTGTCTACCATTTTTTCATAACATGTCTTATCATAGTTTAAACAATAAAAAGTTCTAGAAATTAAGCCTCGAATCTTAATTTATTTTAATTTCTGTTTGTTTTAGCATCAGCCAGTATAATTATACTGTACTGTTACAAAGCTTTTTGCCACTGTTTACTACTACTGGCTTGAACACTACATTAATTGAGAATAAATTTTTCTTGCATTTAATGTGAAATGTTTTTTGGCCAGGTTTATAAATAAAATTAGTTTCCCAAAGGTAAGAGCTTGATATTGAAAATTGAATACAGTACAGTTTAGCCTTATTTTTTAATTCAAAATTCTTCTAAATAAGGTTTTTCTAGATTATCAAATTTTCCAGCTACACTAATGCAGTGGAACCTCGGTTTTCATTTTTAATTCTTTCCAGAGAGTCTGACAAAAACCAAATTCGACAAGATCTAAAGCAATATTTCCCATAAGAAATAATGTAAATCCAATTAAACCATTCCAGACACTCAAAAATATTAACAAAAAATACATTTTATAGATAGTAACTATAGTTTTACAGAAAACACTGAGAAATAAATGTAAAGTACTACTTAACATAATAAATAAGTACTTAACATAGTAAATAAGTTACACTGAGTTAACCACTTAACCTAGATTCAACCCCGCACATGGATCAGGAAAATTATGTTGGGAGATACTCCAAAAAAAAAAAAATGCTCAAGAATCCCAAATAACATAGTACAGTACTGACAGAGCTAACACTTCCCTTAGGTCATCCATCAGAGTGAACCTGCTTGGATCATTCAGCTATCTCTTCTGCCCTTCATTCTCTCACCTTTCAACTCCCTCTGTGCATTGTCTTTCTTCAATATACCTATAGGCCCATATTGGATATAGGTGAAAACTTACACCTAAGAATAATTTATGGCCAGTTAACAGGTTACTGGTTTCCAGTCTCAGTACTAAAATTTCACTTTGAGTTTTCTGCCTTCAGGTTACAGCTGTCTCAACTGTGATTTGAGTGGTGTTAGTAGGATTCCTAGTGGTTTATCAGAGCCATACACAGTACATTTTAAAGACTGAAAAATGGCTGTTTTTCAAGGTTTGATGAAGCACAACAATTGCCATGTCTTTATGTTGGCTTTTCAACTGGGGTTGTTGCAAATGGCTCTTGTTTTGGGGTCATGCAGCAACCACATAGAAAATGAGCAATTATTAGAAAATGGAGTGTAAAAAGGGCCAGCTGAGTTGGAAAGTGGTAGGAAGATCCTAAAATTTATGATTTAGGAGGTAAAGTAGATAGGTTGTATTCCTTGTAGTTTTTCAAAAACTACACAGAAAGTAGTTTTTCATTCTTCAAAACATAATTCAGTATTAAGTATTTTTATCTACTGTATTGAGAAATGTATGACTAAGAATGTCAGTATGATATGCTGTTGTAGCTAAAGACATTCTTTTTTGATTTTAGGTTGTGAAAACAGCACCTATGATGCCAAGAGCCTCGCGAAAGAACTAAAATTAGCGATAGAGAATTTTCAAGACAGGCCTGATACAGCCGCAACTTGCAGTGTCAGCCAGAGTCCTATCATTATTGAAAATTATGTAGGAATTGCATCTCTACTTCACAATGCTACAGAACTTGGCTTCTTCAAGCTTCGGGGGAAAGTGAGCTTTTGAAAAGGTTGAGCATTTGTAGACATGTAGTTGAAGTGGGACAAAAATTACTTTAATTTTGTATTTGTTACAAAGATAACGAGATGCCAAGTCGCCTAGATGTTGTTCGTAGGAGCCACCGAGCAGTAATATACTGTATAGCTAAAGACACTATTTGCCAAATGATGTTTTGTTATACAAGCATTCTGAAGTCTTCAGATAACTTGCATAGCAAAGAAATACTCAACTCTACATGTGAATTTGCTTGCATAATTGCGCACACCAAATCCTGCTGAACAACACAGTAGAGACGACAGTGTTTACTCATTCAAACCTTTTATTTTTAACTGCTGTTCATTTGTGTGACAAATATTGTCTTTGGGTATATTTAAGCTTCCTGTTTTTCTAACAAATTTTTCCTCCCCACCAAAGGTTTGGCGGCTTGCAGCGTGAGCCATTATGAACCAAAGAATGCAACGAGCACCAAAAGTTTAGGTTGAAGGTTGAAGAAAATTTGAAGATTAGATGCATTTGTTGAGTGATTGAAGATTTGATACACTATAATAATTTACTGAGAGATGGAAGATTATCTTCAGAAGATATTCACAGGATTGTATGTTTTTATCTTCTGTTTGTTCTTGATTGTGTTAATATTACAGTTAAATCACCACACTCATACTTTCTTTCTCATCCACACTCTTAATCTCTAACTTTTTTCATCATCTCATTATCCCATTTTAATACCTTTTCTCTTCCACTACTACTTCCTACTTGGGAATCTTTATTGAGAAAATGTTTCACCAGTCAGTGGCTTCTTCGGTCCGGTACAGAGAAGAAAACGATGTTCTTTTCTGTATTGGGCTGAAGAAGCTACTGGCTGGTGAAACGTTTCCTCAGTAAAGATCGCCAATTGTTGAATGAGTGTCTCATTCTTCAACTTGTTGATTTTCAAAACCAATTTCATCTTTCCATTTCTTTCATTCTTCCTTCTGTTCTTTACCTCACCCTTTAAAATATTTTTCTTTGATCTTTTCCTACGCTTCCTTTATGTCATTAGGTTAAGTACTAATGTGGATATATTAGTAATATTTATTTTACGAAAGAATCTCCTAGAGTAAATACTGCTTCATATTAATGACACTATGTGGGCCACAGCAACAGCTGGTACTGTATTCAGCTGTCTGAGTAGTGTGCATACCCGAATGTTATGAAAATTAATGAGTTTTTTATGTTAATACCAATTATGATGATGCTGTGCTAAATTTTATTAGTGCTAGCTAGATCTAAAGAATGAGTTGTAAAGGTAAGTGTAAGCAATGTTAAGATTTTCAGTCTCTTTAGACTGATCATGTATCAGGAAGGCAGTATAGGTTGAGTGTACTTTTGTGAATGTAACGGTAATTATCCTATCAGTTGATGCAGGAGGCATGAGCATCAGGAACAGTTTATTGATTGTGAAACAAGTCATATAATTACATTTCAATTAGGCATTCATGTTTTTCTTTTGTAGCATTGACAGGAGAATGTACAAAGTTGTACACAGACCAAAGATCTTCAGGATTACACTTACATCATCCAGCTTACATGTACACAAAGTTCTAGATATAATGGGACAGTACAATATCGAGTTAAGTAGGAAATAAGATTGCAAAGAATAATTAATTGAATATTTAGCATGCTTTGAGTGAACTAGTCATAGATTCTTTGAAATAAATGTTTTAAATTTGGATATACTACATTTTCTTACTTGTATATTGTTACCATAACATATAGCATGAATGTAAAATATACAGAAGTAATTAGTAATTAATTCTAAAGTTTTATGTAAAATATAAATACCACCCCAAGGCTTATTTCTCTGTTATTTTGTAAATATAGCTTATATATTCATTTACTTTTATCCTTATGTTGAACTTAAAAGTTCTAGTAGGCTTTTCTGCATTTTTAATTAAATTATTATATATATCAGAGTACTTAGTACTTTCAGTAAAACTGTGCTATCTGCCCATCCTTCATAGTAAGAGAATAAGTGATGGTTAATAATGATTTTTTTATACTATTGTAAATGTTGGCCAAATCTTAGTAAGCCCCATGATAGAGTGTAGAGTATATTGTTCAAGCTTAAAGTTGGTATTTATCAATCAGTTTCATTTGTTAGCTTTAATATTAGCTGAACTACATTGTTGCTTAAAGTCAACATTTGGGTGATGTCCAAATAAAGGGTAAAAGTTTAGAAACACTACTCAAATTACCTGTTTTGAACATTATTAGCACCTTGCATGAATCTCTAAGCACATGACTAGTTTAAGGTAAATATTATATATTTTATACTGTGTCAGATTGTGTTGTAAGAATATAATCTATATATGTGTGTAATATAATCAAGTTAGAAGAGTGCTTACAAAATATGACAGGATCATATATATATATATATATATAAATATAGACATACCATCACCTGAATACTTAGTAAATACAATGAACATATCCACAGTTTTATCATTAAAACAAATCCCACAAGAATAAGTCTCAAGTATGTTGACATGGTGCCACATAAGTACCTAATTTACACAACATAAATGGGCTTATATAAATGTGTGACAAACACCTGTCAGTGGTGTGAGCAAGCTCCAAGTACCATCTATTTCAGCCTCACACAGAGGCCATCTTCAGCTTGTTGATGAAGCCCTCAGTGCGAGACCAGAATATACAGTGCTTTTCTTGCCTTTTGCAAGTACTGTATTTTATTTTGTCCATATAGGTTTAGTTGTATCACATTTTGGCTTACAAGATAGTTTTCTTATCAAGCTGTCAGATGCTCACCTCACTGAAGCAAACATCTACAGATGTCTCAGACAAACTTACTTGTAAAATTATTCGTCCTGTAGTTTTAGTAATCCTTGATGAACGGTACTGTATTGGAAAGCTCACATATGGAAAAATAAGACAAGCTGTTTTTATCAGTTTTGTACAGTGAGAATGATAGTAAATCATGTATCAAATAAAGGAAAAAGATGGGTTTGTAGAATATTGTGATCTGTGATTAAGAAGGATTATAAAAAAAATAAGCCAGTGGCTCAAAATTATTAAAAATAATAGGTAAATTTGCATAAAAGTGGTACATACAAGACTTTGTAGACATACATTTTTATGCCTCTAAAATTGTGTATGTAGGTAGAAGGTTGGTAGACAGCAACCACCCAGGGAGGTACTACCGTCCTGCCAAGTGAGTGTAAAACAAAAACCTGTAATTGTTTTACATGATGGTAAGATTGCTGGTGTCCTTTTTTCTGTCTCATAAACATGCAAGATTTCAGGTATGTCTTGCTACTTCTACTTACACTTAGGTCACACTACACATACATGTACAAGCATATATATACACACCCCTCTGGGTATTCTTCTATTTTCTTTCTAATTCTTGTTCTTGTTTATTGCCTCTTATCTCCATGGGGAAGTGGAACAGAATTCTTCCTCCGTAAGCCATGCGTGTTGTAAGAGGCAATTAAAATGCCGGGAGCAAGGGGCTAGTAACCCCTTCTCCCGTATAAATTACTAAATTTAAGAGAGAAACTTTCGTTTTTCTTTTTGGGCCACCCTGCCTTGGTGGGATACGGCCGGTGTGTTGAAAGAAAGAAGAAAATTGTGTATAGTGTACATCCATTTTAATCACTGATTAATTTACAAATGTTGTATGATAAGTTTTAGCCTGTATGCAGGAATGTTGACAGTTTCTATTTACAGGATCATGACAGTGTTAGAACTAATTTGGTATACATAAGTACAGTTAGGAGGCGACTAAAATGCCGGGAGCAAGGGGCTAGTAACCTCTTCTCCTGTATATATTACTAAATGTAAAAGGAGAAACTTTCGTTTTTCCTTTTGGGCCACCCTGCCTTGGTGGGATACGGCCGATGTGTTGAAAGAAAGAAAGAAGTACAGTTAGGTAGTATGTAAGTCTCATTATTCATGGATGGAAGATTGAACTTCTCACTCCTTGAGATTAATGTCCCACAAGGGTTTACCCCCTCTCATACAACATAATAACAAAATGAATGATAGATTTTCACTTTGGAATGCACTAAGAGTATATAAGGTGCAAGGTTTTTACAAATTGAAAGTTCCTCAAGGAAGGTGCCTTGATGCCAGTGAAAAGCTTTTGAACTAGGGAAGTGGATCTTTTCCCCACCTCAGTAGATTGAACCTGAGTTCTTCCTATTAACTACACACACACTGAGATCCCTATGGGGTTAGCGCTTCCCTTGATTATAATAATACGAAGTAATATAGGGGCTTATTTAAAATTCTTTCTCTAGAGATGCAAATGATTGGTCTAAAATTTATAGTGAGTTAAACAGGAATGTAATTTCCTGTGTTCATTTGAGGAAGTGAGCTCTAGTTCTTGGTCCCACCTTATTTTTGACCAGTTACATGAAAGTAGTAATGTCATGCATGCCATGGGTTTTTAATCTATGAAGTTTGCTTCCAGTGTATATATGTTCATTTCATTATAGTTCTCTATAACTCATGTTGAAAAAATATTTAATGATATCAATGTTGCTTACTTGACTATAATTTCCAACTATGCCTTCTCGGTCTTACATTCCTAGCAAAGGGCCTATCCCTGTTTACTTTGTCATCATTGTAGTGCCTCTTTTTCTTTATTCCTGCAGCATAATACTTAGTCTCTTTTCCTAGCTCATTTGCATCAATTCAGTCACCAGCCTTCTAGCTTTACTAGGTGGTGATTCCACACCAACAGTGTGTTATGTCACTCTTGTTTTAATGTTTTTATTGTTAGAAAGGTTAAGAAGGTCTGAAGATAAGATCAGATTTTATTCAGATTTTTAACCAGGGGGAGGGTTAGCCACCCAGGATAACCCAACAAAGTCAGTGCATCATCAAGGGACTGTCTGTCTTATTTCCATTGGGGTCCTTCAGTCTTGTCTCCCAGGATGCGACCCACACCAGTCAACTAACACCCAGGTACCCTCTTATGTGAATGGGACAGCAGGTGAAGGAAACATGCCCATTGTTTCCACCTTTCCTGGGGATCAAACCACAGACAGACTACGTGTGAGGCAAGAGCATTGCCTACCAGGCCATGGGCTTTGTAAGAGAAATGAACTTAAAAGGAGGATGGAAAGTAAAATGTTAATGACTAACACGTGGTGAAAATTTTACATGAAGCCTGTCTTTCAGGAAAAGGGAGAAGAGAAGAAAGTATCAAGGGTGTAGATATATAAGTACAGTACATATCTTTGGCAAGACAGTGATAGTGTGAATGATGGTGAAAGTGTTTCTTTTTCAGGTTACCCTGCCTTGGTGAGAGATGGTCAGTGTGTTAATAAACCTATCTGTATCACTGCAATGTGTTTTGCAGTTATAGTACATACTGTTGAATTTTCAACTTTGGTTGATTTCAGTCATGGTGCATATCTATTTACTGTGTATTTTTATCCAGAGTGCTTTGTTGTGAATTAAACTAACATGCTTCCATTTTTTGTTTAACTGTAAATTTACAGAATTTAATCCATGGGGACTTAATACTTGTACAGTATCAGTTATCGGAATCGTGACTGTGATTCAGTTGCACTGAGATTAAATGATGATCTTATACCCTATTGCCAAGTACAGTAATACTAATTCCCATATAGATATGGGTAAGGCAGATTTATTGTGTTACTTATTGCTGTAAAAGAGTGTTTTAGTAAACTTTTTAGCATTAAAAATAATGTAAAGTAGCTTGTGTACTTTTTTAAACATTTTATCTTTTAATTTCGTTCATCCTTTTGAAATACATTATCCTTTAAAACTCTTCATGTATGGTGCAGTATTAACTTACTGGAAGAAAAACTTTTATTCAAAAAACAGGTTTAGTGCTTCTTTTTTATTATAATAATTCAAAAACATTTTGTAACATTGTTATTCGTGGCATTCTCTGTGGAATTTGTATATAAGGAAAATAAGTGCTGGGATTGTGTTTTTACTGGATCAAAATTGTAATTTGTGTAGTTTTTAAAAGAATCATTACTAATATTCCAAATGCAGTACAGGTAGAGTACTTTATTTTGGGTATAGGTATTGGTTGGATGCATTTTCTGATTTATCTTAGGATGTCCTCTTTAATAGGGGTCACTTGAAGCTGGTGAAAAGCTCATTCAAGGAATTGGAGCTTCCCTCACCTTCCTCAGAAACAACTTGATGCTCCAGGTGCTGAAAGACCACATATGGTTAAGCACTTCCCCATAAATATAATGTTAATGCCATGGAATGTGTGTGTTTCATGTCTGAGTACATGAGTGCATGTGTGATTGATTCTTCCCGATGAAAATTTTGGTTAAGGTTTATGTTTATGGAGTTGAGAATGGAATCACAAGTAACAGATCCTAAAATATGTATAATAATCTGTTAGAAAACACAGTACCTCGCTATTCTGATAATTCAGATACAAGTTGTGATGAATGCTTTACTTTAAAAGCACAAAAAAATTTTGTTAGAACTGAAATTTCAGTTTGTAAAAAGAACATTAATTCAGCACCATGGTGACCTTAGGCAAACAGAATTCGTATTTTTAAGTTCAGATATACAATGGTTTTTATTACAAAAATAAATATTTAGGTAATTAAAATATTCAAATTACAAAGCATAATACAGTACTGTACAAGTTTCCATTACCTTTAAGTCAGTTGTGGGGATTATATTTTAATTTCATTTTGTTACTCTGTTTAAGACTAGTTTATGCCTCACTTTAAGATTTTGTAACTAGTATTTTATCACCAGGAAATGTGTTGAACTTTTACTCTTGTATGAAAGGGTAAATAAATCTATATGGTAAGTGTGAATAATGATGGGCTTTTTAATTATCTAATTTAAATTTTTATTGAGAAGGCTATATGATAACTAAAATTAGGTAAGTAGACAGGAATTTTCATGAAGAATATAAATCATGCCATGGCAGGATCAGTTTACAACTAACCCACAGTTCAACCAGCACATGGTCATTTAATCTGTTCATTAAATTCTTGAAACATTGGTGGTTATGGTGTTGCCAAACTATGTTTTGTAAGTTTTTCTGCAACACGATATGCTCATATTACTACATATTTCCATAGAACAATGAAGTATGTATATGTATTTTGAGAGGAATAATAGCAAACAGCTGCAGTAAACATGAGTATAGCAAATTGAAGTTGTCTTCATTGTAGTTGACAGTGATATGACTATAGTGCTATTGTGGATCCAGATAGCATTCTGCTAACATTAGTAATGAAGAACAGACACACATTACAGAACAAGCTTCTGTTTGGATAACATCTCACACAATTTCATCAAGTTATAATAGTAAATTTTCAACTGAACCCAATAATATCTCAATAAAAGCTTATTCTGCAACACATCTTTTCTTAAGTACATAGTACATTACTACTGTATTAGGAAGTACATATAAGCCTATTATTGTGCATAGTGGTCGATAATTGTAGGGAAGTACAAAACAAACGGCAAATAATATATACTGTATTCTTTAAAGCCAGAGTAACAACTGTTTCAGGTTTGTTGTGCTAACTCACAGGAATTGGATGAGTTGTGTTGTAAAATGATTAAGAAAAATAAAATTGGGAGCTGAAGCCTCTAGTGATTCATAAGATAAAATTTACATTGATTATTAGTGCCACAGCAGTAATTTCTACTGGTATAGTATTGTATCTCGTGCATATATTTTTTCTTTATCAGTATTCATCTGTAAAAACTTGCATTTGTGGTCTCAGTGGTGGCTCATGATAACCTCCCTATGGTGTATAGAAATATACCTAGTTGGATGAATCTTATTTTAGCAAGCTGGCCCAGTGGCTTATGCACTGGCCTGGAGTTTTATGATTCACTTGCTGTAAGTTCAGTCCCCACCTATTCCATGGTTTCTCATTATTTTGGCATTGGCACTTCTGCAGCTTTAATTAACATCAAGTTATTTGTTGGAAATTTGGTAATGCAGTAAATTCTGTTAGAATCAGCACCATTGGCAGTGAGGTCATGCAATGTCAAGTGCCAGTCTCAAATTAATTTTTTTATAGCAGCTACCACTTAAATACAGTGGTACCTTGACTTACGAGTGTCCCAACTTATGAGTTTTCTGAGTTACGAGCCGTCGCTTGGTCGATTTTTTGCTTTGAGTTGCGAGCCAAAATCCGAGTTACGAGCAAGCTTCAGATACACCGCCACTAGTTGGCACAGTGAACACCACAACATCCTCCCAGCATTTTGTGCTTTTTCTGCAGTTATTTTGCCAAATTTCTTTTTTCTAACCATGGGTCCTAAGATAGTAATTGCAAAGGACAGTGCTAAAGAGAAGAAGAGGGTGATGTCCATTGAATTAAGGCATGAAATCATAGAAAAAACATGAAAAAATCGCTTTTGTTTCAGTGTTTTCCTTATGAAACTAGTAATCTAATGAAGTTAGCCTCACAAATACTCAGTTTTCTCATATAATAACACCTCAGAAGGGCAAGAATGGGAAGATATGTTCAGAGCAATAATTATTTTTACCTCAGGAGTGGCCACCACCATTTGTCACATAATGACATAAATATTTTATTCTAGAGTATATATCATGTTTCTATCATATTAGATCAGTTGTGATAGATAAATAAGCCGTACAGTTGATATTAGCGTTATATTGAAGTATTTTTTACTGCTTTCCGAGAGCCAGGAATTCTACTGGAACGGATTAATGGCATTTCAATTAATTTCAGTGAGGAAAATTGATTTGATACATGAGCAAATGAGTTATGAGCTCGGTCACGAAACGACTTGAACTCGTAAGTCAAGGTACCACTGTACTTAGTGAAAATGGGATACAATAAGATGACTGCTACAACAGTGTAATAGAAAGTAAAATATTTTAAATAATTTTTTTTTTCCACCAGTCATCTCCCACTAAAGTAAGAGTGACTCTTTAAAAAAAAGGAAACATTCACCATCTTTCATTCATTATGATGAAAAATGTAATTTTTGTTTTGGGTCACCTTCCTTTGGAGGGAGACGACTGATGTTATTGGGCTATGGTAAACTTTGGATAACTGAAACCATGGATATGGAAGTCCTAATGTACATTTAATATTTTTATTAACACATCGGCAGTTTCCCACCAAGGCAGGGTGGCCCGAAAAAGAAAAACTTTCGTCATCATTCACTCTATCACTGTCTTGCCAGAGGCATGCTTACACTACAATTATAAAACTGCAACATTAACACCCCTCCTTCAGAGTGCCGGCACTGTACTTCCCATCTCCAAGAATCAAGCCCAGCCTGTCAGTTTCCCTGAATCCCTTCATAAATGTTACCTTGTTTACGCTCCAACAGCACGTCAAATCCTAAAAACCATTTGTCTCCATTCGCTTCTATCTAACACATTCATGCATGCTTGCTGGAAGTCCAAGCCCTTTGCACACAAAACCTCCTTTACCCCCTCCCTCCAACCTTTCCTAGGCTGACCCCTACCTCTCCTTCCCTCCACTACAGATTTATACACTCGAAGTGATTCTTTTTCGTTCCACTCTCTCTACATGTCCAAACCATTTCAATAACCCCTACTCAGCCCTCTGGATAATAGTTTTGGTAATTCCACACCTCCTAATCTCCAGACTATGGATTCTCTGCATTATATTCGCACCACACATTCCCCTCAGACATGACATCTCCACTGCCTCCAGCCTTCTCCTTGTTGCAACATTCACAGCCCTTGCCTCACACCCATACAAGAGCATTGGTATAACTGTACTCTTATACATTCCCCTCTGCTTTCATGGATAAAGTTCTTTGTCTCCACAGACTCCTAAGTGCACCACTCGCCTTTTTCCCCTTATCAGTTTTGTGATTCACCTCATCCTTCATAGATCCATCTGCTGACACATCCACTCCCAAATATCTGAACACATTCCCCTCCTCCATACTCTCTCCCTCCAATCTGATATGCAATCTTTCATTACCTAATGTTTTTGTTATCCTCATCACTTTTAATTTCCTTCTTTTACATACCCTACCAAACTCACCAACCAAGCTCTGCAACTTCTCTTCAGAATCTCCCAAAAGCAGTGTCATCAGCAAAGAGCAACTGTGACAACTCCCACTTTGTGTTGGATTCTTTATCTTTTAACCCCACACCTCTTGCCAACACCCAAGTATTCACTTCTCTTACAATTCCACAACAGTCTCTCCGCTAGTCAATATGGCTTTCGTAAGGGTCGTTCTACCATAGACCCCTTACTACGCTTGGATACATATGTTCGTAATGCCTTTGCGAATAATCACTCAGTTATTGCCATATTTTTTGACCTTGAGAAGGCATATGACACAACTTGGAGGTATAATATTTTGGCCCAGGCCCATTCCTTAGGCCTCCAAGGCAATCTACCATCCTTCCTTAAGAACTTTTTAACTGACAGACATTTCCGTGTTCGAGTCAATAATGTTCTTTCCCCGGCCTTCGTCCAAGCTGAAGGTGTCCCTCAGGGATGTGTTCTAAGCACAACACTTTCTCCTTGCTATAAGTGATTTGGCCTCTGTTCTTCCACCCAATATTTGGTCATCACTCTATGTTGATGACTTCGCTATTGCTTGTGCAGGCGCTGACTGTCATTTTATTGCAGTTTCTCTCCAGCATGCGGTTTCGACCGTTTTCCACTTGGGCCACCACGCATGGGTTTAAATTTTCAAGTACCAAAACTCACCAAATTACTTTCACTAGACGCTCTGTTATCTCCGATCATCCTTTGTATCTCTATGGCTCCCGTATCCCCGAACGTGATACAGTCAGGTTTCTAGGCCTTCTCTTTGACCGTCGGTTATCCTGGAAACCTCACATAACCTCTCTGAAGGCAACTTGTCACAGCCGGCTAAACCTTCTTAAAACCCTTGCTCATCTTTCCTGGGGAGCTGATCGTCAAACTCTGCTTCGCCTACATTCAGCCCTCGTTTTATCGAAACTCGATTATGGTGACCAGATTTATTCTGCGGCCTCTCCTGCTACTCTCTCTAGCCTTAACTCTATCCATCACCAAGGATTACGTTTGTGCCTTGGTGCTTTTCGCTCTTCCCCTGTTGAGAGCCTCTATGCAGAAGCGAATGTTCCATCCTTGTCTGATCGCCGTGATACCCATTGCCTTCGCTACTATGTACGCTCTCACGATCTACACAATCCTTCCATTTATAGAATGGTCACCGATATTAGTTGACATTCTTTATTCGTTCGCCGCCCCTGTTTGCTCCGTCCCTTTTCTCTTCACCTACATTCACTCTTGTCTTCCCTTCAGTTACCACCTTTATATGTTCAGGTAGCGTCTCACTTTTCCCTACCCCCCTGGGAAGTTCCAGCTGTTCGGGTCTGTTCTTTCTCACTCCCTTGCTCGAAAGCTCAACTGCCTACGGTGGCTTCCCGCTCTCTTTTTCTTGATCACTTCCACTCCCATTCTCATGCCACCGCTGTGTACACAGATGGCTCTAAGTCTTCAGACGGCGTCGGATTCGCAGCAGTGTTTCCGGACAGCGTCGTGCGGGGACATTTAATATCTTCAGCTAGCATTTTTACTGCTGAACTGTATGCCATTCTTGCAGCACTTATTCGTATCGCATCTATGCCTGTGTCATCATTTGTAGTAGTCTCAGACTCCCTTAGTGCTCTACAGGCTATACGAAAATTTGATACATCTCATCCCCTAGTTCTCCGTATCCAACTTTGGCTACGCCGTATCTCTACCAAACATAAAGATATTGTTTTTTGTTGGGTCCCTGGTCTTGTCGACGTACAGGGCAATGAACAGGCAGACACTGCTGCGCGGTCAGCAGTACATGACCTACCAATTTCCTATCGAGGTGTTCCATTTCTGGACTATTTTGCTGCAATAGCTACCCACCTTCGCACCCGTTGGCAACAACGTTGGTCAACTCTGCTCGGTAACAAACTTCATTCTATTAAACCGAGCATAGGTTACTGGCCGTCTTCTTGTCATCAGTGCCGAGGTTGGGAGACCACTCTCTCCCGCCTTCGCATTGGTCACACTCGTCTTACTCATGGGTATCTCATGGAGAGGCACCCTGTTCCTCTCTGTGAGCAGTGTCAAGTTCCAGTATCGATTAGCCACATTCTGTTAGACTGCCCTCTCTATCAACGAGCACGCAGAATTTACCTCCAACGTCGTCTTCGTTCTACTAATCTCTCTTTACCTTCCCTTCTTGCTGATGGACCCTCCTTTAATCCTGACTCTCTCATTGACTTCTTGACAACGACTGATTTACTCCACAAACTCTGATGATACTTTTCGCACTCCCCTCAGCCCTTTCTAGTTCAGTCTCTTGCTGCCCTTTACCCTTTCACCATCCACTGCCCCGCTGTTATCCGTAACCTATTACTCATCCATCTCCCTTTTGCCACCTGATGCCCTCGCTTCCTTCCTGCCCTGCAGCGCTGTATAGTCCTTGTGGCTTAGCGCTTCTTTTTGATTATAATAATAATCTTACAATTCCATCTATAAATATATTGAACAACCATGGTGACATCACCCATCCCTGTCTAAGGCCTACTTAGTAAGTATTGTATAAACTAAGGAGACCCAACTGTGTGTTAGATCAAGCTTTATTAACAACCTGACAGTACAGTACATGGAATATTGTGATAACCATTGTGCTACCATGTGCAGGCCGAATTTTAGCGGTTTGCTATTACAGTACTGTGAAAGTCCCCTCATTTGTTAGAAAAGTTTCCAGTTATGGTAGATGTAAATGAAAGAATCAGATAGAATTTTATTATTGTAATTTAAGAAGTTAGTTGATAGTATAGCATACTGCATTTTGTTTGGGAGCATGTGTAACTAATTGCTGTTAGACAGTGGTTGTTTGTCCAAAATCAATTTAACAAAAAAATTCAGAGGAGTAGGTGCAGGCACTCCTAGAAGTACAGCATTCTTCTTTAATAACTTCAAACAGTTATTTTAATTTTTTTTTGTATTATTCCTCTTTATTATTACCCCTGTCCTATACAATGCCAATCTGCCATCATTTACTTATGTTCATATCTGTTATCTACAGCATTACTGTATACTCAGACCATCATTGCACCATAATTAGAATGCTACCTACACTTGCCCAGAGCTTCTGCTGCTTTATAGTGTGTCATATTTTAATTTGTTTGTGGTTAAATGCTGCATATGTTTTATAGTCTAATATAACATACTCTGTCCTAACCTGACCTAACCAGAAATAAAGTATTTTTCTAATTCCAAGAATGTTCAGAAATTGATGCAGGGAATCACACAAGAAAATATCTTAATCATTAACAAAACATTTATCCACAAATTGTGAATGGATAACTTAGGACATTTGTGTTTCCCCTGGGAAGCAAGAACATTTGCATAAAGTAGAGTATTTAGATGTTATGCAAGACTGCATAACATTGCTTAACCAGGCCTAGATCACCATGCTTCAGCATGCCATAGGAAATTAATGTTTGTCTGTTGTGTTTACTATTCTTTTTGCAGTTAACAGGTTCAGTTGCTGATGCTCTATAATCATATAAAGATACGTTTGGCCAGAGGGAGAGGAAGGGAAAATCGTTAACTTGTGTAGGATTTCCCTATTTCATCTACTGAGTTTTCCATTTGTATAATTTTTCAGGGTATTACTGTTGTTGTTTTAGTGGTTTTGGTAGTACAGACCTACAGATATAATGTTCTCAGAAAAAAAGTATCTTAAATATCTTAGTATTTATTGTTGTTTGTCCTGTAAGATGACTGTCAATCTTTAATTTGTGATCTATCAAATTATACGAAGAAACATCTTGAAATATTTTTTTAGAATAGTTTTCTGTTCAGTTAAATATCTTACAAAGTTTGAATAAGGTCTGACATGTCATACTTTACTTGAAAAGTTGCTAGTTTCTATACCTTTGTTCCATACCTGTATGCTAGTCAACTTATTGTAATTGTGAGATGATATTGATCATCCTACAGTAAACTTTTTACAGCAATGTAGTGTTCTTATGGAGGTACTGTTATAATTATTATGTTACTGTATTAAAGGAGACTATCCTCTGTGTGTGTGTGTTTATGTATTATTACTGTACTGTGTAATGAGATCAGTTCATGAAGATTACTTATGATAACAGTAACTTAACATAGAATACTACAAATAACTGCACACCTGGAAATTACATCTCATGTTGATAAATCATTAAAACAGTTTCATTTCATACTTTTAATTTTTTATATGATGCACTTTTGTTTTATTCTTGGCTAGTACTGTATTTTACTTTCAGAAGTTTGATTAAATATTGTCCCTAGATATGCTAAAAAATATTATGCATGTTACAGTATATGTACGTACTTGTATTTAGATGAATATATTGCCAAGAACATGTTTTTTTGTACAGTGAACCCTAAATTTTTTAGTGGATACTTTCAAAGAGATCCCTACCAATTTAGAATCTCATAAATTATGTCCATATACTGTACCCAATAATAAAAGTTTTTTTTTCTGATTTGAGCTCATATTGTGCCTCGAGGGGATGTATTATCAAATACAGTATTATGCTTTAACTTCATTAGAATTAATTCATAAGAAAAAATATCTGTAAACTAGAGAGACTGGTGCCAGGTAAACCCGCTGATCACACAGTGACCAAAATCCTTTGGATGGTTTTCGATTTAAGAGTCACATATCGAGCCAAAACAAAATGAGCACAATAAAAAATCAAAGTTGTTTGCAGACGACCTTCCAGTAAAAAAATTGAACAGTCAAAGAAGAGATCTGAAAGGCCATGAATTTGGGAGTGTGATTGTGATTGGATAAAGGTAATGCATGTGATAAAGTAGAAAAATAAAATAATGGATCTCTTGAAAAAAATCTTTGTTGGACATAGTATTTATAATCCTTCAGGATGCTACCTCATTTTTGGTGCTGTTTGTGGTTATTTCTAAACTAAATGACCAGGCTATGGACTTAGAACCTAAATGCATACTTTCTTTACAGTTACAGGTCTACTAGGAGTGTTTCAGTATTTGTAATCACATGTAGGAGATCTTTTATTAATAATTAAAGGTTAAGATAAGACTGGCAACCAACCTAGATGTTAATGTGATTGCTATGTGCATACAAAGTTACCAGAGCCAAAAAATTTGTTTTTTGCTAAACCCTTGCTTGCTGTATACTGTAGTATTAAGCAAACACCATAATGAAGCTAAAGATAACAGAAAATATTTTTAATCAGAATGTAAAATGACAATAACTAGATATTAAAAAAAGTTATCATAAGAGATCCAACCATGATGGCTTTTTTTTTTTTAATTTAGCTATGAAAAGTAAGATAATAGTATTATATCACTTAAGAATTATGTACAATATTCTTAAAAGAAATGATAGTGTCAAATATTTTCATAGCGGAGTATTGTCTTTGATGACATATCATTCTTCTGTTTATAGAATATGTAAATTCAAAGGTAAAGTTGCCTACTCAATAATGCCTGGCTATATAAAGACACAAAGTATATTTTCAACTAAATTACCTAAAGTTGTGAAATTATTAGCATATTAGTAACTGTGCATACTGTTTTCTTATCAGCACATCTCACCATTTCAACATACACACACACAAGAAAAATAAGCTAACATTA